TTTGGATGTGGCTGATTTCTTTGAGAATCATGATTAGAAGAATTTGGATAATTTTAGTTTGCTTTATTTATGCTTTTTAATTTAGTTTATGTTTATTTATTTCTCTTTTTTTTAAGAGTATTATTAATCATGATGTACTTCGAATTTATATTAATGAATGTTTTTTTTTTCGGTGAAGAATATGGATGTTTCTCTTCCTTTTGTTGGGCACAAGAATGAAGATATATGCCTGATAGATAGTGCTACAACACACACCATACTCAAAGATAGAAAATATTTTTCTCATCTTACGATAAATAGTGCAAGCGTCAATACTATAGCGGGTAATACAAAACTAATTGAAGGCTCCGGAAGAGCAATTATAATATTACCCAGAGGAACAAAATTTGTTATTAATGATGCTTTATATTCCTCGAAGTCTCAAAGAAATTTATTAAGTTTTAAAGATATTCGCCAAAATGGATATCATATTGAGACTATAAATGAGAAGAACATTGAATATTTGCATGTTACAATGGTAAGAAATGGAGAAAAATATGTCATGGAAGAATTACCGACATTATCTTCTGGTTTGTACTATACAAATATTAGTACAATTGAAACAAATGCTACGGTAAACCAGAAGTTTACTGATAAAGATACGTTTATTGTTTGGCATGATCGGTTAGGCCATCCCGGATCAACTATGATGCGAAGAATTATTGAAAATTCACATGGACACCCATTGAAGAGCCAGAAGATTCTTCAATTTAAAGAATTTTCATGTGCTGCTTGTTCTCAAGGCAAATTAATTGTAAGGCCTTCATTGACAAAAATAGGAGTTGAATCTCCTGCATTTCTAGAGCGTATCCAAGGAGATATATGTGGACCTATCCATCCACCATGTGGACCATTCAAATATTTTATGGTTTTAATAGATGCATCTACAAGATGGTCCCATGTGTGTTTGTTATCAACACGTAATTTAGCATTTGCTAGATTACTTGCTCAAATAATTCGATTAAGAGCACAATTTCCAGACCATGCAATTAAGACAATTCGTCTTGATAACGCTAGTGAGTTTTCATCTCAAGTTTTTAATGATTATTGCATGGCAACTGGAATAACAGTAGAAAAATCTGTTGCTTATGTCCACACTCAAAATGGCCTAGCAGAGTCATTTATTAAACGCCTCCAATTGATTGCTAGACCAATGCTTTTGAGAACAAAACTTCCTATTTCAGCTTGGGGACATGCAATTCTGCATGCAGCAGCAATTATACGCATCAGGCCAACAAGTTATCATGAATTCTCCCCGTTACAATTGACTTTTGGTCGAGAGCCAAATATTTCCCATCTTAGAATTTTTGGATGTGCGGTATTTGTCCCTATTGCTCCACCACAACGCACAAAGATGGGACCTCAAAGAAGGTTAGGGATATATGTTGGCTATGAATCTCCTTCTATAATTAAGTATTTAGAACCATTAACAGGAGATTTGTTTACAGCACGTTTTGACGATTGTCATTTTGATGAGACAATTTTTCCAATATTAGGGGGAGATAATAAGCAGCTGGATAAAGAAATCATATGGAAAGCATTATCATTATCTCATCTAGATCCTCGTACACAACAATGTGAACTTGAAGTTCAAAGAATAATTCATTTGCAAAATATTGCAAATCAACTGCCAAATGCATTCACTGATCCTAAGAGAATTACTAAATCTCACATTCCAGCTGAAAATGCTCCAATTAGAATTGATGTCCCAGCAGGACAACTAGAAAGCGCAAGTGAAACCAAACCACGCCTGAAGCGGGGTAGACCAATCGGTTCCAAAGATAAAACTCCTAGAAAGAAAAAAGGAGCAAATAATCATGATGGTCATGATAGTCAAATTAAGGAGGCAAGTCCTATAGGAGAGGACCGAAACATAACTAATCAAAAGACCTCAGAGGAGGCTCAGGTACCTGAAAATAATGAAGAGATCTCAATAAGTTATGTTACTACAGGAAAAAGATGGAACCGAGAGAACACAGTTGTTGACAATATTTTTTCATATAATGTTGCTGTTGAAATAATTAATCAACATGAGGATCTTGAACCTACATCAGTTGAAGAATGTAGACATAGAGATGATTGGCCAAAATGGAAAGATGCAATTCAAGCAGAGTTAAATTCACTTTCAAAGCGTGAAGTTTTTGGACCTGTAGTCCATATACCAAATGGTGTGAAACCAGTTGGATACAGATGGGTCTTCGTGCGCAAACGAAATGAGAAAAATGAGATTGTTAGATATAAAGCACGGCTTGTAGCACAAGGATTTTCACAAAGACCTGGTATTGATTATGAAGAGACATATTCTCCTGTGGTGGATGCAATCACTTTAAGATATATAATTAGTTTGGCAGTCCATAGAAAACTTGAAATGCGTTTAATGGATGTTGTTACGGCATATTTATATGGTTCTTTAGATACTGAGATTTATATGAAAATCCCTGAAGGATTTAAATTGCCAGAGGCATGTAAGAATTCTCGAGAAAATTATGCAATTCGTTTGCATAAATCCTTATATGGATTAAAACAATCTGGAAGAATGTGGTATAACCGACTTAGTGAATATTTGTTGAGAGAAGGTTATAAAAATGATCCAATTTGCCCATGTGTTTTTATAAAAAGAAATGGATCAGAGTTTGTTATAATTGCTGTCTATGTGGATGATTTAAATATAATTGGAACTCCTGAAGAGCTTCAAAAAGCAGTTGATTGTTTAAAGAAAGAATTTGAAATGAAAGATCTTGGAAGAACAAAGTTTTGCCTTGGCTTGCAAATTGAGCACTTGGCAAATGGAATTTTCCTCCATCAATCAACTTATATTGAAAAAGTATTAAAGCGATTTTACATGGATAAGGCACATCCGTTATCTACTCCTATGGTTGTAAGATCACTGGATAAGGATAAAGATCCTTTTCGTCCTCAAGAAGATGAGGAAGAACTTCTTGGTCCTGAAGTACCATATCTCAGTGCCATAGGTGCATTAATGTATCTTGCTAATTCAACACGACCTGATATTGCATTTGCTGTTAGTTTATTGGCAAGATTTAGTTCTTTCCCAACAAGAAGGCATTGGAATGGAATTAAGCATATATTTCGATATCTTCGAGGGACAATTGATATGGGATTATTTTACTCTAATGAATCAGAATCACAATTAATTGGCTATGCAGATGCAGGATTTCTATCAGATCCACATAAAGGCAAGTCTCAAACAGGATATTTATTTATTTGTGGAGGTACAGCGATCTCATGGCGTTCAACAAAACAAACTTTATCAGCTACCTCATCAAATCATGCGGAAATAATTGCAATTCATGAGGCAAGTCGAGAATGCGTTTGGCTGAGGTCAGTGACTCAACATATTCAAAAAATGTGTGGTTTTTCCCTTGAACAGAAGATTCCAACAGTATTATATGAAGACAATACAGCATGCATAGCTCAATTAAATGGAGGATATATCAAAGGAGACAGAACAAAACATATTTCTCCAAAGTTCTTTTTCACTCATGATCTTTTGAAAAGTGGTGATATAGATGTTCAACAAATTCGCTCATGTGACAACCTTGCTGATTTGTTTACCAAGACACTGCCGACTAGAACATTAGAGAAGTTAGTGTATGGTATTGGAATGCGCAGGCTTAAAGACTTAAAATGATGTTATCATTAGGGGGAGTAAATATTGTGTACTCTTTTTCCTTCACTGGGTTTTTGTCCCAATGGGTTTTTCCTAGTAAGGTTTTAATGAGGCACAATACTCATTATGGACATCCAAGGGGGAGTGTTATGAATATTGCATGAGTGGATGTCCATAACCCCTAACCCTTAGAATTCTCATAGGATTCCTCACCTTCAAGTGTCATAAACTACATAACCTCCCTAATGAATGTTTTTGGGAGGAGTTTCTTATTGTTAATGCTATTATGATGTTCTTTATTCCTTTGTAACCTTAGTATAGGACTTCAATGCTTGGAGGCCTATAAATAGAGGGCATATATGAGGCATTTGTACCTTGAACCAAAGTGAATGAGAAAAGGCCATTGTCTTCTCTATCTCTTGCTTTCTTTTCTACTCTTCATTCTCCTTATTTCTTGTAGTTTTACAACAAAGTCAATAGCCTGAAACACTTTTTGTTTTTTGGGGGGCCAGAAACACTATTTTAGGCCTGATTTAATTATAAAAATGATTGGGTGTATATATTTGTTATTGAACATAATTAAATGCGCCTGAGTTCTTTAACATTTTTTAATCTCTTTCTAAAATCAATAGCCTGAGATACTGATTTTTGGTTAAGATAAAATTCACTAATTTGAGAGTCAACTAAGGATAATAAAACTAAGGATAATAAAAAACGTATCATCTTTTTTATTCATTAATTTTGAAAAATAAAATTAAAAAGCTAAAATTTAATGGATATGCAATATAGAAAATATAAAAATAAATTACAAAATAAAATTAGAGAAAATATAAAATGAAATAACTATATTTCGAGCCTCTCTTTTTCATTCTGGAATCTGAACTTTGTCCTGTTATTTATTACTTATAAATATAACACAAATTTTTTATGAATTTTGTCTTATGTTGTATTTCCCTCAATTCTTATAACTCACTAAATTGAGTACTGATTACATTTTTTTAAACTGTACATATTTAGAGTTTGATACAGCTTCTATTTTCTCATCGGAAAAAAGAGTTGGATACAATTTTTATTTGTTTTTGACGATGTAATGTAAATTTAATAACTTAACCCCTTTCACAGATTTCCCAAGTGAAGTGGTTGAAGGTGGCTTGTAATAAAGAAATGAGAAAATGAATATATATATATATATATATATATCCATTTATGTGACAACGATGTAAATAATAAATTAATAAAAAGAAAATAGAGGAAAACGTCTTCGCGTTCAAAATTTAACTGTATCGCAGCATAGTGGATTTGATCTCCGCCTGGCCTCTCTTTCCAGACAGATTTCTCCATTGGTAGCACCGTCAGTATTACTTGGTCGTCGTCTTCCTCTTCCCTGACGCGTTCTTCCTCTGTCACGTTACAAATACAGCACAGCGCCGTCCATTAGCTATGGTCCCTTGCTCCTTTTGTGCACTTCATTTCACACTACTCTGCTGTACTCTTGATCCAGAGAACATCTGACTCAGCTTTTTCTTTCCTGCGCATCGCAAGCGTAGGAAAATGGTGGAGCTCTCCTTTGTCTCTAAAGCGAAGTCGGCCTTCCATTCAGCGGCTGCGAAAGCGGAGCGGGTTCTTGTGGACTTGAAATCCGAGCGAGGTTCCACGGCAAACACACACTCTTCTATTTCCATTATTTCTCATGTTTTGTTCACGTGCTTCATGTTTCATCCCTTTAATTCAGATCACGTTGTGTTCCATTTTAATGTGTTTGGCGTGTACATATGTAGTGTTTTTGTTTTTGTTCTTATTGGAATTTGAATTTTTTCATTGGAATGTGCTTTAAGTATTAACGCAATTCATTGCTGAAGGTCCTGACAAAGAATCGCCGGACAGATGGACTAGCAATCCTGAAGATGAATCTCATCAGAACGAGGGCGATTCAAAGGTAATGGCAGTCGGAATGATTCTGGTTCTTCTGGCGTCAACTTGTTTGCTTCTGATAACTCTGTTTAGATTACCAGCTAGAAGTATAATTACTTGTATTGTTATGTATTTTTAAAGTTCTGTTAGATATTAACGGAAGAAAAATTATGAGGAAATCGAAAAATAGACCGGCTTATTGAACTTCATGTGTTACAGTCCAATTTGAGAATATAATAAGCTTTGTTTTGTTTGGATGCTTCAATCACTGTCTTCCAGACTTCCACTATGATTGCCCTCTAAGAATTAACTCGGCATCCACATATAAAACTCCTTGATTTTGTTCAGAATTATTTACAATATATATATATATATATTTATATTTAGTATCTTTGCATTTACTTTGGTTTAAACTTCACAGGAGAAGAAAAGCATAGTCTAAACTCTGAAATGCCTCTTGTCTTCGATAATGATTACAAGTCATTCGTTTATGTATTTTTTGTGTTATCATTATGTATGAGATCTAATTAGGTAGTATAGATCCAAAAATGGAAGCTCATTACTTTTAAATTTTTGTAACGGGATGATGCCGCAGCTTCACAGTGAATTGAGGAATATGAAATGGAGGCCTGCATATAGAGGAATAAAGCAGGATTGGCAAGATAGGATTAAGAACATCAGAATAAGGAGAAAAGAAGTTGAAGAGACGGATGAACTCAGGGATATAACCATGGCTGTTCCATTTTATGAGGAAAATTTGTACACCGTCAACAAGAAATATGATCTTGAGGCCAAGGTAAGAAGATTTGAAACATTGTACTTGGGAAAATCTTATTAGATACACTGACTATGAGGTATATTAGGAAAATCTTATTATATACACTGACTATGAACATCATGTATTCAACATAGTGTCTGAAACTATGCCCTCAGCTTTGACTAATATGATCATACCATACAATTGCTCATAAACAAACTGTTAACCTCAAGGTTAAATGCTTAAAATCTTCGAGCAGAATGACTGATAAGTAATTAAGATTTTCTGATTCATTATTATGCAAATGCATTTCTTTACTGATTTATGAGAAAACAATTGCTTAAGGTTTCAGAAGCAGTTCCCACGGTTGAAATCTTAACTGCTGCAACTATAGATCCAACTTGTCCATCATCTGTAATTAAAGATTCCGTTCCCCCATCATCTGTGCTGAGGCAATTGGCTATGGCTGTTGAGTAAGTTCCCAATTTATACTTGTTTGCAATGCTTTTGTGTTTGGCATTTTCAGTGGCTGGGCGCATCTTTTTGGTGTCCTGCAATAAATTGTATTCAATTGTTATTTATCATGTCATAAATGCTAAACTAATTGTAGCATAAATGTTTAAGAGGTTTTGTTTTAGTCATTCACGAGTGTTTTCAGATTATGATGAAACGAGCCTATCCCCTTAAATATTAACCTTTTGTCCAGGGCTGGAAGGAAAACAAAGTCGATGGAAGATTTTACAGCTTCAACAGGAGGTTCTTCACCTGTTCATGATAGGGCAGGTTTAAGGCTCTCTGCAGTGAAGGCATTAGTTTTGCGTGAAAAGGAGGACAAGCTTAACTTTAATGATGATGAGAAAGTTCTGTATTTGATTAATTCTCTGTTTGATCCAGGTAAGTGAATTTTACGGTTCCTTGCTGATGATAAAATTACACTGGTGATATATTCTCAATTATTTATATATTTGTTTGATGAACCGAAGGTGGTAGTAAAGATAGGTTGCTCCAAGAGCAGTATGGGTGCCAAATGATTAGGATCCCAAAGGGATAGGCAAGGGACCCAACCTAGAAAGATCCTTAAAGAAGACAGCTCAATTAGCCTCTAGGCACCAGGGATCTCCTTGGGAGGGTTGACCAATAAACAGGACTACCAACATATATCGTTTATTATTTTCAATGTATTGTCCTGTATGATCTTTCACTTATATTGTAATCCTTGCGAGTTATTTGCAGAGGGGGAATTTTTCAAAAAGAAGATTAACTATGGTTCAGAGGAAACTGACTTATCATCATTTCCAAGAGATATTCATGGTGCTCCTCCTGAAAGCCTTGTTGCCAAGCTTGCCGAAGTCATTGGAAACTTCAAGAACCTTCGAGAAATGGCTCTTTTTTGGTGCAGAGTTGTTGTTGAAGTATGTATAACTAAATAAGAATTGATATTCCTCTACTTCATAAAAAACTGTTTTCAATCTTAAACTGAAGGTTTAATTTACCCTCTTGGTCGTTTTCTCTTGTGTGTGTGTGTGTGTGTGTATTCATATTTTTTGTAATGTATATATTCATATATTTAACTTATGCAGCTGAGAAAACTTTGGTCTGAGGAGCAATATTTACCCAGAATCCCCTTGGATGAGATTCCAGATTTGAAATCATGCCTCCTGTATCAACAACTACAAGTAATAAATTGCTGTATCTCCCGGAAAAGGCACCATGTTGTTGCTGCTGAATCTATGGACTCTATGTTGCTAAAAGCCAGGTCAAATATTGATGAGTTAGTTGATTATAGTGACTGCAACATTGCTTCAAGTCCAGTCAAGTATGCTAGATTGAGTACTGGCGAGTTTGTTGTTCGACTTGGTGCTGACTGTCCTGCTGGAGATCTGATGTTGTTGGAAACTGGCGAGCCTGTTTATTCTCCTGTTACCCAGGTTTGATCAGTACATGTGCTAAACAGTACCGCTTAAACTTTCTCCAACTACTGGGATTCCTGAGACTTTTACATGTAGGAAGGACCCCTGCTTACGGAAGATCTGATTGAAGAAACGGAGGAGTTTGTGCTGCAGACAAGAAGGTCTGTCCACTATTTGCGATACATTTGATCTCTTAGTTAACTTGAGCTCTGTTCTTTTCTTTTTTTTTTTTGACTCATTTAACTAGTAAACTAATGCCAGCTTAGATTCGTTGCAGTTATGAATCAATAGCTTTTTTCCTTGTAATTGGTATCATTTTGGCTGTGCTTGATAATTTTTCTAATCTTTTGTGGTCAGTGTTGGTGCTGCATGCTCTCAACTCCTCTCTGATATGCAGGCTTTCAAGGTCAAGCTCTCCCTTGAAGAGAACTTTCTCTTACCAATATTCTGAATGTTCCTAACTATTTTGAATGTTTTGAACATTCTATCTGAGTAAGTTCTGTTTAGTGTCATTTTTTAGGCTGCAAATCCAGGCTGTATTATGGAAGACTTTGTGAGATGGCATTCTCCTCCTGATTGGAAAGAAAGGGAGACAAGTGCGGAGGCCCAGGAATCTCTAGACGGTAGTGGTTCATTGTCCAACAGAGGTTCTCTAAGTCTGCGGATGCAAAAAGAAGGTGTAGTATAAGTTTGTCCCATCAATACTATCTAGCTTGGGCTTCACTCATTTGATTAACGAATTTTACACGCTGGCTGAACTCGTCATGAATGAGTAGTTTGGCTTAGTTCATTAAGTTTCATATTAACATTAATTTATTTCTATTTGAGAATTTAACCTTAAATGAAGTTTCCTGCAGTGAGTGAGTTGAAGTAAAATGAGCTTATTCATGATTTTTACTACAATGTTTTCTTATTTCATTGAGTATTAATTATTGTCTCATGTAGAAATAATGATGCATTAAATTATTTGTCATTGGTGAGCTCCTTATGAGAGGAGTTGAGGCCAGTAACAGAGTTTTTGAGCTCAAGTTGTTTAATAAGCAAGCTTCATATAAGAACTAAGCTTTAAGCATGTAAAGCTCAAATTATTTACTAAAAGCTATGCTCATTCACAGCTTTAAGCATCGCATCATGAGTTGAATATGATTTAATGCAAAAATAGTATCAGTACGCTGCATGATAAACTTTTGAGTTGGTGCATAAGATATTTATTAGTGACGTTGCTTTGGGATCATAGTCTCAACCTTTGATGTTTGGACGACCATGGATTCCAATCTTCAATGTGCTGCCACCTAGATTTATTATGAAGATTTAGAACGTTAGCTTGGGCTCAAAATTTATGTCAGCATAACCAGAATATTTTAATTTTAATGTTAATTTTTTAATCTAATTAGTTGACTTTGGCGTAGGCTTGAGTTTTATATGCCTATTTACTTTGGACTAAGCATTGAATTGAAATTGTTGGCATTTTATGTTGTAGAAAGCACTAGCAGTTGCCGTTACTTGCTCTTATCATTTCAGAAATCTTCTCTATGTTTTTTTTGAATAAAAGATGAAATCTATAATTCACATGGAAAATTAACAAAATTACAAGCGGGCTGAGATTCATTAGATGTTTATGGCAGGTAATTTGTGGCGTGAATTGTGGGAAGCAGCTAAGCCAGTGCCAGCTGTTAAACAGGCACCTCTATTTGATGA